GGAATGAAATTGCCCTGCAGATTTTGGCTTACTGGTGTTTGCATTAGTTAAAATTAAGGAATTTTTCAATCCTTTCAGCTGAATCATCTCAAAAGGAACAGGTCTGCTGTGAAATACTGCTAAAAAGAAATCATTTGATGGGATTGCTGCTAACATTTGCCTGTGCTGATTGCTCTCAGGAACAGGAACAAGATCTAAACTCACTTTTGGGTGAGTTTTAGGGGCTCAGAGTAGCACAGTTTGGATGTGAGGGGAAAGAGCAGGCATCAAGCACCTGCAGTGGTAACATTTCCTCCTAGATAAAAAGTACTCAGTAAAAGAGCAGACCCAACTCTAAATTCTAATTCTAAATAACTTTAAATAGAAAACCAGCTCTTTCAGACAAATCCACAAGATTTCACCACAATAATGCTGGCTTATGGGTTTTCAGAACTTCCTCAAGATGTAGTTAACATTTCTCTCGCATGCTAAGCCATAGGAAAATGCTCGTATCTGCCACGATGGTCTTTGGCCTCTGTACTTTTCCTAGCCCTTTGCCAGCTTCAAGCATCCACCTGCTAAAGAAAATACATGGTGGGGACTCTCAACTAGTTTCTTTACAAGACTCGGCAAAGAGAAAGAGAGCCCAAATTTGTAACAGATCTTAGTAGGCTAGAATAAATAAATTATAAAGTTCTATAGTTATATGTAACTCAATTAAATAGAATTAAAAATAGATTTTTGATCAAGATTTAAAAATTCGGATAGTAATATAAACAACAATAAGACTAAATTGAAACAAATATAATTAAAATACTAAATAAACGCACATTCAGGAAGTGTTAAGAATAATACCATTTCATAAAGTCAAGAATTCAAAGAAGGATAACGAAAATATACTGAAATGATAGAAATGTATAGACTAGGTTGCTGCAGAATGCTGGTTGCTGATGGTGGAGACTGTAGTCTTGATCACAAATTGATTTCTAAACATCTCACATCAGGTTAACCCCCTGATGTGGGACATCAAATAGAGGGAATCTGAAGCTGCCCTGCCTAGGTACGCAGAGGGGGAAGGGGTGCAGGATGTACACTAAACAGCCCTTCCTAAAAAGCATGCAACTGGCTGTGAATCTCTCTGTAATCTGGAACGACTTCTGTGCCTGCTAACTGGACCACATAGAGGGAGAGGAATGCAAACCAGGGACATGGCAGGGTCAGACAATTCTGCTGAGCTAGATTCATTCTCTTTAAGTCAACATGCATATGCATATACTTTGCCACTAATTTTATTCAGAGCAAGTTCAAGACTCAGCATAAAACAGAACATATTCCAAACGTCCCTACACAATAACAGATCCGTTACCAACCTCCAGTTGTCCTGCCTTTCCAGCAGCATCTTGTAATAACACAGATGCAGCATTCTGTAATGCATTTGTCACAGCACTTATTTCCTCAGTGATCTTATTCCTCTCTTGAATCTCAGCTTGCACAGAATCCTTATGGTCTTGAGTCTTTTCATATAACCTATAAAAGATTTCCAGCAAGGATACATTAAGTGTTAGACACTACACAAAGCAGGAGTAATCAAAGAGCATGCTTAATAATATCCAGAACTGCATTTGTCTGTATTTTAGTATTATTTTCTGTAACTAAATCTCTGAGTTTTTGTCCTTTATTGTCTCAGCTTCTTCAAAAATGAGTCTTCAGATATTGCTAAACAAAGTACATTTGGTAGACCAAATCAGATAGCATGCATATTTAAACAGCAAACAGAGCTCCAGTTTTCAGAGTCTGAAGATGCTGGCAGAGCCAAAGACGTTCACAAAGATTTCCATGTCAAAAAGCAGGCATGGAGAAGGGTGAGTACAATCACAGATTTGCAAAAAATATTTGAGGCAAATTTTAAACAGTGGCACTCACTTAGTAAGGCAAAAGCTGCATTGTTGCAAAAAGCACAAGGTCTGATTTTCATAAGAGTGGAAGACCCACACATCTCATTCAAGTTCACAAGAGCTTGGAACCTCCAAAATCAACCATCATCCCTTCTGATTCCTTCTACATTTGAACACAAATTGCAGCCCACACACGATATGGCCAGGCTCAGGTCTTCTCCCTAAGTACTACCTCCAACTGCTCATGCTGGAGACAGCAGATAGGTTAGGTGGAGCATTGGTCTGATCCAGTAGGGTATTCACTGTCTTTCTAAGTGCATTATAACTTTCATTTACTCTTAAACACCCAATAAAATGCTGTGCTTATAAGTAGTCCTATTCCTATCTTCAACAGAAATTTCTCACCACTTACTTTGTACAGCGATCCTGCATTGCCTTTATCTCACATAATGCGGGTAGGGCAGCTTCTGCCTCAGTATTTTCAGATGTATTCAGGATGTTTCTTATTCGGTGAAGTAGTAAGAGTAAGAGGAGCTGTTGCTGGTTGATATTTTCCTCAAATGAGTTCACAAAATCTAGTAATTCTACTAGTTCCTCTCCGGTGGCCTTTTCTTTCTCTTTAAGACTTTCTGGCTGTTCTTCCTGGAGCTTATCGAGAATTATTGTTTCTCGTTCCAGCTAAGTAAAGAGCATGTCAAAGCATGAGATAAAGTGCTTTTCTATTCCATCACCTTAAGTTACATTATTCATTTACTCATACGCATGACTAAGTACTGCGAATTACATAGCCAGAGAGCTTGAACCTCTGAAGTGTGCCAGAACATTTGAGTTTGTTCTAACAAAGCACATAATCACACACAGAATTGTTCTGGGTTTAGAGAATTTGTGCTATAAATATCCCCATAACTTTTGACTCCACGTTCAAGAAAGATTAGGAATAACTGGCTGATCAGTGGGTTGGAAATTATGTTCTGCACCGATCTCAGCCCTTTACATGCCATTTTACTGAAGGGCCCATCCCTACCATATTCCCCAAAACTTACAGTTTGTTGAGCAGCTCACCTCTT